CAATGCTGAAATATGCGAAGGACGAGTTACCCAGAAACCTGCTATTGCATAATGGTTGAAACAAAGATAATTTACGGAAAAGGTACATTTTGAGGAAAGGCAGCACTTATGATGTAGGATGATGCACAATGCCTAGTAGTTACTTACGAGATTTAACTAAGTTACAAATCAAAAGTAAGTTACTTACTTAGTGTTCAGTAGTAAACATTTCAGTGCAAGGAGGGCTTTAATAACTCAACAATAACAACAAAGATACTTAAAAAAAGGCGTCTTCATTTATTTCATACATATATAACAAAAATTTTCAAATATAGTTAACTTTATTAACAAATTACATCAATAGTTGCAACGTTGTAATGCTTAATGGTAATTTCCAGATTGAGAGGGAGAAGGCAGATTTGAGCGTGCAAGTTATCCAACTTTCTGAGAGGCTGGAGGAAGCTGAAGGCGGGGCCGAGAGTCAGGTAGATATTCCAAACATTTATTTACTAATATTATCAAAACTAGAATTAAACATATCAAAGAAATGGTAAGGACTTAAACGAAATTTAGGTATTCTACAAGAAACAAAATACAAAAAGGTAAAAGGAAAATGAAAATACAAACAAACAAGAACAACAAGAAGATTATACAAGAATCCTATTGATACAGAAATATATGACATTAAATGAAAAAAATAAAGTTTTGAAATTGATGAAATAGAAAAAATTGCTCAAATCATAAAAAAATATAAGACTGAAATGAAAGAAGATGTACAAAGAAAACACGAAAAAGGAAAGTTAGAAAAAGTAGAAGAACAATTGTGAGAAGATTTACCAACAATCGAAGCAAAACTTTTATGTATATACTTGCTAATGACCAATGCTTTGCGATTTTTTTATAAAGTATCATTGCGAAATGGCTCTGCGATTTTTGTATTAACAAATTGGCTTTCTTACAGGAAAACAGTGAATGGAATGAAACATGAAAATACCTACAAATCATTTCAATTTACTAAACTTAACGTATATCTTCAAGTACTGTTTAAAATACTTTTTGTTCATTACACTGGGTGTTACTGAAAATGAAATCAACGGTTGATTAAATTAATCAAGTTCAATTTCAGAAAAAAAAGTAAAATAGTATGTTATAATAAATAATTGTCTTCCCTTAAAATTTCTAAACCAATTTTGCAGTTTCAGTGACACTCTAAATTTATGCTTAAGTTGCTCACAATAAAAACGTTCAGCTCATATTGAAACGCTAATATTTCAAATATCCACCCCAAAGATTCCACATTTTGGGGTCATATTTTGAAATGGTGCTATACGTTTTTCAGTTCGAGATCAACAGAAAACGCGACACCGAACTTACCAAGCTCCGCAAGCTACTGGAAGATGTCCACCTTGAGTCCGAGGAGACCGCCCACCTGCTCAAGAGGAAACACCAGGAGATCGTGGTTGACTTCCAGGAACAAATCGACCAGCTTACCAAAAGCAGAGCCAGGTGAGGACACACTGACTATCACCTAAATACATCTTGTCATCCTTGTACTAACTAATGTCTCTATGTTTAGATATAAGATAATGCTACGCGAAACCTTTGGCGAAAACGCTATGCGATTATGACACTCTTGAAACACTAATACATCACCAACAATACGTCCACCAACATCATACTAAAAATATTGTCGTTTCCCGTGATTGCAACATATTATTTCTTTGTCACCAGGGCTGAGAAGGAGAAGTCCAAATTCCAAGCTGAAGTTTACGAGTTGTTGGCCCAAGTGGAGAACGTGACCAAGGAAAAGATCACCATCTCCAAGACATGCGAAAGGCTCGAAATCAGCATCAGCGAGCTGCACATCAAGATCGAGGAGTTGAACCGCACCATTGTGGACATCACCTCCCACAAGCAGCGCCTTTCTCAGGAGAACGTTGAGCTCGTCAAGGAAGTTCAGGACCTTAAGGTAATTATTTAATAACATTCGTAGTTTTCAATACTTTTTATTTTTATACAAACTTCGTAAAACTGATTGTAATGATATATCTGTAAAACTTTTCGGAAATTCAATATAACCAGATAGATACATAAATTATTATCAACGTATATAGTAAATGTACGACGTTATTTTCCAGGTGAACATTGAGAATGTGGTGTACCTTAGGAGCCAGCTGGCCAGCCAGCTCGAGGACTCTCGCCGCAGACTCGAAGATGAGGAGAGGAGGCGCTCTCTGCTTGAGGCCAACCTTCACCAGGTAAGATGTTAAAAAATAACGTTGCAAATTCTAGGTTTTTTTAACCGCTTTTTTGTTTTGGAATTTAGTATTAATATTTCACAATATTTTCCTGCATAGGTTGAGATCGATCTTGAATCCGTCCGCGTCCAGCTTGAGGAGGAATCCGAGGCCCGTTTGGACCTGGAACGCCAGCTGGTCAAGTCCAACGGTGAAGTCAGCCACTGGAAGTCCAAGTACGAAGCCGAGGCTGCTGCTAGGGCTGAGGAAATTGAAGAGATCCGCCGCAAGTACTCCATCCGCATCCAGGAGCAGGAAGAACAGATCGAGACCCTCATTGCTAAGATCAGCAGCATTGAAAAGCAGAAGTCTCGTCTGCAGAGCGAGGTATTTACTAGTTTTTTATTTTTATACCAGTGTAAAAACTTAAAACGTTGAATACTTTTAAAACTAATTTAGTTACTTGACAGTTAGAACTCAAATTTTAATAGAACTCTTTATCAATCAGGTTGAAGTGCTCATCATCGACTTGGAGAAGGCCAACGGAACAGCTCGGGAGCTCCAGAAGAGGACTGAACAGCTGGAACGCGTCAACATTGAGATCAAGTCACGTCTTGAGGAGACCGTACAGTTGTACGAGCAGACCCAGCGTGACCTCCGCGTTAAGATCACTGAGATCCAGCGTATCTCCCACGAGCTCGACAAGACCCGTGAGCAGAAGGATGCCCTTGGCCGCGAAAACAAGAAACTGGGTGGTAAGTTTGTTTTTAATAAAATTGCATTGATATTTACCAAGAATAACGATTTAAAACACATAGAATTCTTCTTGTATGTAGTTAATGCGTGGCTACTTTTTACAATACTTTTCTCGTTGCTAGTCCTGAAATGTTCTAATTTAATCGTACATGGAAGATGTAGTGTTTCAGTATCAATATATTTTGACTACGATAATAGCACTATTGACTGCATCATAACAATTTGTGTTGTCATTATTGTTACTACTGATTTGTTAATATTTTGGTCACGTCATCCTTCACTACGATCTTTAAGGCCCTTGGTTCAGATTCATCACCTTCTGATGCTTTCTCTGGACTTTAAGTTCCCGGCACTGCTTTGTGATATATTTTAGAGTTAACTAGTATATTTGTATTAGATGACCTGCACGATGCCCGCGCCAATCTCACGGAGTTGAACCGCCGTCTTCACGAGCTCGAGATCGAGCTGCGCCGTCTTGAGAACGAGCGAGAGGAACTCACCGCCGCCTACAAGGAGGCTGAAGCCGTAAGTATCTTGTTATCATCAATCTTATTTATTTAAAAATAAAGTTTCATATTTTGGGCTGTAGGAATAAGTTAGGTCACTTAATAGGGACTGTTTGTACTTATTCAGTCCTAAAGAACTTCAAAGATAATGCAGAAAAGCATTTTGTAATGACAGAGCATTTCACATTGAAACGCAACTATAAATATACAAACTGTTTCTAAACACCATTCTTTTGATTATTTTATACAAATATGAGGTACCAACGCTATCCATAGATTCTCCACAAATTTCAATTCACTGATCAAATAAGTACTTGTTTTAGACATCATATTTTTGTCTTACGACGGAATGCAGGTTTACAGATATTAAATTACAATTTTTTTTATCAAATAGTACAAAATAAAAACAACTATTAAAACAACACACCAACCAAATAACACAACCAAGGTTTCTATTAGTACGAGATTTTCAGACGACATGAACCTACCGCAACTCTCATAGAAAAATATCAAATTTCTGCGAACGGTGCTTATTCAAAAATAACCTCATCAGCAGCAACTGAACGTCTCATTTGACAACAGTAATTAATAGGTCATTCTTGTACAGATTGTTAGCAACGCTTTGGCAACCAATCAGCTATTAAACACGATACCAACAGACTTGCCAGGGTTCCGTAGCATCTAATAATAGACAGTGTTATATTTAGCAACGAAGAAAACAATCGAATTCCTCGATAAATACAGATTTGCATTAACATTCTCAACACTGACGCCGTGTTAACATCCATCTTCTGAAACCAGGAGGAATTTAAAAGGATTAAACAATTTCGCTTTGCTATGCTTTTTACAAATTCGCACAAAAGCAAAATAAATGACTTTGGCGATGTTTACTGTTTGTAATTAAAATCAAAAAACTCCATCGATGATGATACAATGTGAATGTATGTAGCAGTAAAATCTATTTTCAATCGGAATGTAGGCGTATACATCAGTAACTATATGTATGTAAATAGCTGGCAGCGAGTTCCAAATCGTAAATCAATTATCCAGACTCTAATTACTTCCAATTACCATCTTCCTGGATAACAAAGTATGACTGAGGAAGACGTTGATCTTGTTAGTTTAGCCCATTTGTACAAGAGCCAAATTAGATGCAAAATTATTTAATGTGTATAATGAACCATTATGATTTATTTTCACCAGGGCCGCAAGGCTGAGGAGCAGCGCGCCATGAGACTGGCTTCCGAACTGGGCCAGTTCCGTCACGAGGCCGAGCGCCGCCTCCAGGAGAAGGAAGAGGAAATCGAAGCCATCCGGTGAGTTCTCATACTTCATATAACATCTGAAGCATACAATATAGGTTCTATTATAAACATTCGGCAAACCAGTTTTGAATAACAGTCTCGGTTCACATTTTAGTTTGCTTCACAGACTTAAAGTATAGTCAAGCTTTACTTACCTTCATTAGGATCTTTACTATGTACTATAATGTTTACACTGATGGTGTCCACGTTTGACTGAAGTATCATCACACACCTCACTCGACGATCGCCAACTCGGAACTACAATCTTACTATATCTTTCAACGATCACGCCCCACCACTTCCCCGCGCTGACTGATGGGTGACATCCAAACTTGCAATCAACCATCACAACCATGACACAGTTCTATCATGGATCGACGCCAATTAGAGTTTGACAGAGTGCTACCTAAATTTACAGTTTACTGAAAACTGTTCTACAAAACACAGTACGATATGCAATTACGACTAAAACAACCATAACTAACGTAATCTCATCACCTACAACGCATTTCCGACCCAAACGATTCCAACCAAATGCAGTTATGCATAAGTAAATATATTTCGAATAATTGGCACGAATTTCGTTTATATATAACCGCGCATCTGATTGGTGCTTATTACCGGTGATCACATACGAGCTTTGGCAATAAGTATGACTGAAAATGTACAAAAGACGACGTTCATTTTCTCGCGCCTCCAATTACGCAACATCGTCTCCGGGCGGCGCACATCGCGGTGACCGCGTCTTGATCGTAGTGAATAGACGCAACTCGTACATCTTTCATCATGCCACCAGTTAAAGTGCCCAACTACAATAAATGGAATAGACCACCCACCGCAATATATGAAGATAATTATGGCTACGGTATTAATTTTTATCAGCCAATGATCGATTACATCAGTGCAAAAGGACAAGGAGTAGCAGCCAAGCCTCCTCATTTACCATGGAACAATGAAAGAGGACTGGACAAGTATAGGTTTGATAAACCAATACGAACTTACTCTGAGGAAGATGCTACGAGACTTTCCCACGAAATCGCCGATCAAGCTAAGCGGGACCTCAATACATTTAATGTGACCAAACGGTCTCCTTTCTCAGTGATCGCTACCGCAGATGCGGCGAACGTTGTGAAGCACATTGGAACAGAAAGCGTGACTTCTAAAACCAGGAAGAAGAAAGAAGAGAGAGAAAAATACAAAATCGAAAGACAAAAAAAGAGAATGAATGAAATTGAAAAGGAATTGGAGCTCTATGAGAAAGAAGTAAATGTGGGTGCGGAATTGAGAGGTAAAGCCAAAATGTATAGAGGCAAATCGGCAAAAGCAATAGCTCAAACCCTATTACAGGAGAGTAGGCAAAATGTGGCTGAGAGTAAACCAACTAGAATTGAATACCGTGGCAAAAGAAGCGTCATTGATAAAAACTTGTCACAAATAACTCAAAATGTGTTATCTAAGGCCGTGGTACAATCGAAAATTTCAGGCGCAGCGGCTAATGAAATTTCAGAAAAGATGACTGAAACGATACACAGAGCTATACGAGAAACGTCACCGACGACGTGCGTCGTAAGGATTAGGGAAGTTCCGGCAATTGAGTGTAAAGTAGATGACTCGTATTTGCAACCTTTAAACGAACTAAAACAAACGATAAAGCAATTTGATGAACTTAACACATGTTTGTTGATTGACTCGAGGTGACTTATTATGTTAATTAAATGTGTTGATGTGTTTAAGAGTGAAATCAGTGTTTGAATTAGTTTTGTTTTGTCAACAGCAAGCAGACCAGCATCGAGATCGAGCAGTTGAACGCTCGCGTGGTTGAAGCTGAGACCAAGCTGAAGTCTGAGGTCACCCGCATCAAGAAGAAGCTGCAGATCCAGATCACTGAGTTGGAGCTTTCTCTTGATGTCGCCAACAAGACCAACATTGACCTCCAGAAGGTCGTCAAGAAGCAGTCTCTGCAGGTAAGCTCTCTTGTACAAGCTTGCTTTAGAACAGCTTTAATATTTAGTTTAATTTACAGGGCTTCTGAACTGTAATAGTGAAAATAATCAATACCTGTGCATTATCTGAACATCACACTAACCATTTTTGGTTACATTTTCTAGCTCACCGAGATCCAGACCCACTACGACGAGGTCCAGAGGCAGTTGCAGGTGACACTCGACCAGTACGGTGTTGCCCAGCGCAGGATACAGTCTCTCACCGGCGAGGTTGAAGAGATCCGTGGCAACTACGAGCAGGTCAGTTTGGGAGCATTAAAATTTATTAAATCATAGAAGAAACAATGCAGCAAATTGTCCATGTAGCATAACTGGCATGACTGGGTATCCCCAGTATAACTAGATGATACTATCGTATCATCTAGTTATTACATAATATAGCAATGTTAATAATGTAAGTAGTACTATCAAAACAATAATAGCAACATGGATGCCAATATTGAAACATGACTTGGCTTCATCCACCGGAATTCTAAATGTAGTAGAATGATTCAGATCTTAATAAAATATAATTTGTTCAGGCCCTTCGCGCCAAGCGCACCGCCGAGCAGTCGTACGAGGAGGCGGTCACCCGCATCAATGAGCTCACCGTCATCAACGTCAACCTGTCTAGCAGCAAGGCCAAGATCGAGCAGGAGCTCGCTGCCGTCGCCGCTGACTACGACGAGATCACCAAGGAGCTGCGCATTGCTGACGAGAGATACCAGCGCGTCCAGGTAAGATATTAATTTCATTTTTAATAGAATATTGTAATAAAAAGATATAGCAATCTTACGATTACAGACTGGCCTTTACTAAAAGTAAAATCAGGCAAAAACCTGGTAGTGGATTAATACATTTCGAATTTATTTCACTTTCATTAACTTATTGAATTGCAGCTTAAACACAAGTCACAAAAATACTATGCATGCATGGCAATCATAACCTCAACTTATCTTTTTCAGACTGAACTCAAACACACCGTTGAGCACTTGCACGAAGAGCAGGAAAGGATTGTCAAGATCGAAGCTGTCAAGAAGTCCCTCGAGATCGAAGTCAAGGTAAGCCTTGAATTATTTGAACAACACATGGGACTTTGAAAATACCTATAAAAACGTTTCTCGAACAAAAAGTCATTCAATAAGCTCGTCTACTAAATTTTATTTTTTCTTTTTCATTCTAGAACATCTCTGTCCGCCTGGAAGAGGTTGAGGCCAACGCCATTGTTGGTGGTAAGCGTATCATCAGCAAACTTGAAGCCCGCATCAAGGACATGGAACTGGAAATGGATGAGGAGAAGAGGAGGCACGCTGAGACCATCAAGATTCTCCGCAAGAAGGAGCGTCAGCTCAAGGAGGTCATGATTCAGTGCGAGGAGGACCAGAAGAACATTGCTCTCCTCCAAGACTCTCTTGAAAAGACCTCCCAGAAGGTCAACATCTACAAGAGGCAACTGACGGAACAGGTATGAGGTCTTAGAACAAACAAATGAAACTTTGAGTAGTAAAATCGTATTTTTAACATCCAACTACTAGAAGTAGATTAGAAAAAATGAGTAAAGGTACTTTAAATATAGACATTTTCTAAATATTGTTACTTTCTTCCCACAGGAGGGTATGTCCCAGCAGAACGTGACACGAGTACGACGATTCCAACGCGAGCTGGAAGCCGCCGAGGACCGTGCCGACTGCGCCGAGAGCAATCTGTCCCTGATCCGCGCCAAGCACCGCACCTTCGTCACCACCTCCACCGTGCCCGGCTCCCAGGTCTACCTGGTGCAGGAGTCTCGTGCCATCAGCTCAGAGCGTATGTGAGCGCCCTACCCAAAGCCCCAGAACACCAGCATTTCTCTCCATCAGTCGATATCGGGGCGCAATTCCGGTCGGGTATAATAAGCCTAGTCGTTCGTTAAGTGATGTAAAAGCGGTAGATGGCGCCAGCGGGTGCGGTATAGTCCGTGCTCGGTGGCGCCCCCTATGCAGCTAGCGGTGAGTCGGGACGGGCGCTCGGCGCTGCGGCTCGCCCTAACGTTGCCGTGTCTCCGCACTACTCCGGCCAAACGCCGACCGCTCGTCCCAACGGACGTATTAATGTAACGCTAATTCAACCAAATAAAGGAACCAAAAACTTTAAGCTTTTTTTTTCAATATTTTTCTAATATAAGGTCACCGGCGCTATAGAATACAATATCGTTATGTACCGTAATTTAGGTGCAGTAGTTTAAAATAAAAGAATTATTTTATATTATTATTTATTAATGGTGCAATGCATATTGTACGTTTGTAACTGTAACTTTTATTAATTAAAAATAAATGCTATTTATGTTAAAGAAACAAAAAAAGCAATAAAACTTCAAAAGTAACATGGGTTTTTATTTCGGCCAGTGAATCTTATGAGTCAACCAACTATGTTTGAGAACTTTAGAATAAGATGATAATACTATAAGTCAAATCGTCATCTCAAGTCTGATTTTATTGACTGTACATAATATAACTTATTGTAGCAAGTAATTAGATTATTGTAATCTATCATATACTTTTATATTCACACCGAAACAGACCATCCCAATGAAATCATCGACTCTTGACAAACAAATACCGAACAATATGACATTTCTAGAATTCAATAGAGAATCATATCTATAGTACTATCGAAGACATGATTGACCACGATCGTCTATTAATACCCCTATATTCATGTCCATACACTGATCTATGCTATAGCGTACCTACGTCCATAACCTTAAGACCAAGAAGTACAGACGCAGTGGCTAGCTGCATGCAAGTACCTACATATATTTTGTACACCAGTAATGGTCAAACATGTTGATACCAAGTTCACTGCTCATCTGTACAACCTATAATAATGTATCCTATGATATATTATTATATCTCACACATGTTTTTTGCAAATAAATAATCTTTATTTTTATATTGTGTAGAAATGAATACCAACGTCCCTTGGTCATAGTATCACTTTTTTATTGTGCTTATTAAGTCACTTTTTTGCTGTGGTCGCAGTGGTTTATTAGAACTCGTCAGGAAATTGGGAAATAGCTACTCTTTTAATATTAAGCGAGAAACTTTGTTTGACCATACAAAGTGAAATTTAACTATCGACTTGTTAGGGACGTCAATCAAATCTTTTCTGAGGCCTTAGTACGAGTTTGCTTACGTTCAAAGTAATCGAAACCGCGTTCGGCGCTAGGATTGGCCGGCTGCAATGAGCCAACCAATCAGAGCCAAGGCCTCCATTGTTGTGATTGTTCCTAAGGGAGTTAGTAATCAAACTGTGCAAAGCAGGGGTGGGCGCTATTTTAACCCGTTAACGATGTGATCAAGAAGCTAAAGCAAAACTAAGATTTCTTTAATATGTACCGAAATGATAGACCATCATTAACATTCAAAGACTGCTTAGTTGGCCGAACGGTCGCAAGTGCGACTGCTGGGCAAGGGATCTCGGAGTCTGGAATTGTGGCATGTAGTGTATGGCAATAGGTCCACCCCCTATTATTATGTGAACTCATAACAGAAATAGTGAAAGGTGGAAATTGTATAGTAGCATTAAGTGCCGTAATGTGCACATCTGCCTACCCCTTCGAGGATAAAAGGCGTGATATTATGTAAAATGTATGTTTTTTGGCTATTGGTGATAATGCCTTAATCGATTGAGAACAGTATTTTATGACCATGCATCGAAATATCATATAAAGAAAAAGAATTTGATCTATTGAGGAATTAAAAGTTAACTCAAGTTTCCAACGAATTTGAACACTATGAGGTGAAAAGGTGCAGATAATAGTTAATTAGAAAGGGAATAGAAGACAAGGCCTGTCCACATAATGTTACCGAAGATGCCACAAACTCCAACGGGTTAGGCTTATCAAAGTAGAAAGCTTAAGCCTTATTTACATTTTCACTGATTGGAAAGTAGCCATTAATTACTGGATAAGGCGAATCAAGTCCATGGAATGTTTGACTAAGTTAATTACTCTCATAGCGCATTCTATGAGCTCGTTGGAGTATCTGTCACATGAGAAAACGGTAAAGACGTGCACAAATAAAGGCGTTGTTACGTATTATTTATATTTGGCTCTAATCCCTGATTGAATATTGGTTCTTTTTTTATAAACTCTGGCAGAGTTGAGACACCCTACACTTTTTTTTCCTATGTCGTGGTTGCTTTTAAAACATACAATTTCACATACACATGACATCCGGACCTAGAATAAACAATTTGTTGATCACATAAAGAGTTATTCTGTGCGGAAATCATACCCTCAACATGTTGCACGACGGTAGCCATTTGCCCAGTCACCGCGCCAAATGTGCAGTCAAAGTCGATCATCGATATCATTATATTTTTGGCTTTTATCTGTTGAAACACCGGCTCCTGGAATAAAACACATTACACCCGCAACTTTCAACAGACAAGAAGAGGATAAACTTCGAAATCAGAATACGTAAAGGGCCGTTGTTTTAATACTTTTTCGTTTTGATGTTTGATCAAGAGACAACATGCCTGTCTCTGAATATTCAGGTGTTCCTTAACCCTTTGACCGCCAATGTCACATATATGCGACAAGCGAAAACTGTCCCTGGACGTCAACGACACAAATACATGACAGAAAAAGCGGAACCAGAAACACGAATTATTGGAATCCCCATTGTTGATACAATAGGGATTCCAACAATTCCCATTTCTTTCGTAGAAATTTGCGTGGAATTTGTGGCTTGGTGTCGAAGGCAGGTTCATGTGTTTTTGCTCTGGCGT